TTTTTTTTTTTTTTTTTTTTTTTTTTTTTTTTTTTTTTTTTTTTTTGAGAAAATGTAATTCGAAAAGGAAATCGTTCTTCGATCGTTCTTCCGATTTTCCGGGGAAAAAGTTATTCTTGAAACAGTCCGTGTCTCGATTTCTTTTCGCAGAAAATCGCTTCGAGATGTATTGTTACGTAAGTTGTTTAAAAGAACCACTCCGCGAGATTATCTATTAATGAAATATTGATACCCGATCGTAAATTCCAAGGCTTTCACAAACGACTTCACGAGTTATTTTCAAAAGACTAATAATAAATTTTCCATCGAATTTCCTTCCTCTCGTCAAACTCGCTCGCTTGAAAATAAACTCGCGCCTCCTTATTATTTTTTTTTTTTTTGTTTTTCTTTTTCTCTTTCTTTCTCCTTTTCACCGAGAAATTATACATTTCCACCGATATTATACATTCAACGATGCCCGCGTTTCTTAATCAACGATGAGTACGAGCGGCGGGGACGTTATTAAAGAGCGCGATATGAAATTAGATCGCGTCTCTCGGGCGAACCTCTTGCGGCTGCCGCTGCGTTGTCCGTTGACGGTCATCGTTAATTTCATCGTTTACTTAGCGAGGTGCGACGCGAGTGCACCCGACCACGATGTTCCCGGCCGATTGTTTATGACGGTCGGAGCTCGTGGAAACGTGGACCGTTCCCTCGACCGCTTCCTCCGACCACTTCTCTTCGGGGAACGTTGAAACCCGCTCAAAGGGAGAAGATACGGTTTTATCGCTTCCTCTATTAACCCGATTTAACGACTCGATTCGCGAATCGTGCCACGATGATTTCTTCCTCGAGGATGGATACGTTCATACGCTTGTAGAATCGCAATTGCGGAAGGCGAACGAGATTTTATTCTGAGAGTAGTATTGACGGGTCCAAATATTTGTTGCATCGCGCGAAAAATAGAAGGAAACGAAATTAAAGAAGCAGGAAGAGATAAACGTTACTTTTGAACCACCTTATCTCGCGAACGAGATTTTATTTTGAGAGTAGTATTGACGGGTCCAAATATTTGTTGCATCGCGCGAAGAAAAAGGAGGAAACGAAATTAAAGAAGCAGGAAGAGATAAACGTTACTTTTGAATCACCTTATCTCGCGAAAATTGCATCACGTGACGCGATACGATATACCATACACCGGTCATAACTCCATCAACGATGGCCGTAACTTCTCAACCGGCACGAATCGCGTTTACACCGACCCGTGGCTAAAAGCGTCCGCGGTATCGAGCCAAAAAACAATCGATGCACGAGCATCGTACGCTGCCGAGCCGGCCGCACTCAGATAAGAATCGAGATGCACAATAAAGTTTGCGCCCGATCGATCGTACCCCGTGCTTGGATTACCCGCGCTGGATCGGCCCTGTTTTCGCCGATGCGAACACGAGAGGCGAGAGAGGCCGAGAATGGCAATAACAGACGAGGCAGAAATGTAATCGTTGCGTGGACGTATCATTTGGCGCAATAAATCCGCGCGAATCGTGAACGGCCATTGGCCAAAGGCGACATAGCTTGTACATATCGATTGGACAATGTGTGCGTGCAAGTTGCAGCTGCGGCTCGTGCACGTGTTAAGTGCTAGTCGTTAGATCTCTCTTCGATGTTTACCGCAATGATTAGCGTGATCTATGCCCTTCTATTGTGCCATCAACCCGATAGAAATTGATGCCGTCGTTTCTTAAGAATCGAAATTAACGTCGGAAAGAAACATTCTCGTTGAAGAAGAACCTTTCCAAGAAGAATCAACGTAAATGTATCCCCCTTCTATCCAACATTTAAATTTCGATAAAGTTGAATATGGTTAAATTTAACTTGGCCACCGTCTTTAATATCTTTCTCAAACTCGGCAAACTTCGTGTTATAATCGGAATTGTTGGAAATCGTCGTTTCACGTACGATTAGCCAAAGATCTCAATCTTCGAAAGGCAAAGCACGCGAGACTTTGCTTCCTCCGGGCGATCGGTAAACGATCGGTTGCAGAGAATCGGCCCAAAAAACCTTAAATCTTACCTTTCAGACGGGCTTCCCCGAAACGAAAATCCTGGGTGGTCGTCTCCCAGCTGCTAGACGGCAACCTCGATTCGATCCTCCTCTCCTCTTAGATTTTTCTTCCTTTCAGAATTCTTCCTCTTCGCGTACGTGCGGTGCTCTTCCTTTTTCCCTCCACCTTCGATCCTTCACCCCTCCTCTTAAGAATCATTGTTGAATTTTATCTGAACGAGGGGGGATAAGCAAGCATTCGTATCGTGGTCGAAGCTCGAGATAAAGGTATCAGTGTCGTTACAGCTTCTTATCTCGGCCTCGCGAGTATTCGCCCCGGTGATTTACTACGTCGTTTGCGTTTTCGCGGCTACGGCTCGGCATGGGCCAACGCCATTCAGATTCCTCCCCCGTCCAACCTCGGTTGGAAGGAGCGTCGCGATAATCCTCTTGATCGAGATCAAGAGCAACAGGCTGGTCGTTCGCGGCGTGTTTCGCGTTTGCGCGCGGGTGTTAAATGCGTTCCATCTGCCGGCCAAGGTAGATTACACCGACCAGTTTCCTTCCCTCTCTCTTTCCTCCTCTCCCTCTCGCCGAGAGAACGTAGTCCGCAGTAAAAATGATTTATGCACGGCGAGATGCGTCGTTTCAGATAGGATAGGACGGGCTCGGACGATTGAATTCAGACGAGAATTCTGCGCGTCATGGCCAGCGTTTCACGTATGCGTACGGACGACGTATCGATCTCGATGGATATCTATCGAAGAAGAAACGGGGAACGATGGGTTGAAAACGAGAGATCGATACGAATTTATTCAAAATTCTCTTCTTCTCGCTTCTTTTCATTCGTTTACCAACTCGATCTAAAATAATTTTAATTCTTGCGCGATAAATTCTCGAATTTCCAGTCGAGTTGAAACGAGGGAAAGCATCGGTCAAACCAGCCACTCGTGGAGACTGATGGTCCACGACTTTTAAAATCGGTGCAGTTCTCTAAAAGCCGGACTGTTTTTTCTCTTTTTTCTTTCTTTTCTTTCTTCGATTCTCTTTGTCACAACGAGGGAATATTAATCGAACGCATCGGAAGAAATATCGTAGATCGATCTCTCTCGAACCAACGCTCCCCTCCCCTCCTCTCGTTTCCAATTCGCTTGTAAAAAAAACACCACGATCCTTCATCGATTACGCTCAAACTCTTCCCAGGAGGGAAGAAGTTTGGAAAGCGATGATGACAGTGACGAAAGGATGCTTTCTTTCTTTTGAAGTCTCGTTGGAATTTCGAATTTCACGAACCGTGCAGGAAGATCGTATTTTCGCCCCGTGCCTGGGGAGGGGAGTCCCCGCGTGTCCCTTAAGACGCATACCTGTCGCTTCACGCGTGACGAGGATTTCTGCGAATCCGGGATGAAAGCTCGCACGCGATTGCTCTCGTCACGCGAAGCGTTTCTCTTCTTGATCTTCTCGGAAGAGAGCAAAGTGGATGGATTTCGGCCTTTTCCCTCTGCTTGCACTCTTCCCGCGGATAAGAAAGGATGTATTTAGGGATAGGGGAGGGAATCCACACGTGAGCGAGGATTCTTCTAGCACGACCATGAGGGATTAGCGTTAAATTGGTTCGATGATTCTGGAAGAAGGAAAGAGGATAGGACACGTATACATCTCTCTTTTTCTCTGTTTGGCAATTAGTCTCTGCCAGTTTCATCGGTCAACGATTTACAATCGATTGTTTCCCTTTAACGAGGCTCTTTGTTCACCAGGCGTCTGGAATTGCCGCGAATTTCTCGCAAGGAAGATCGAGAGAAACACCAAGAGGGACGTTATATTATTAGAAAGGGTATTAATAAAGCACGCTTTGATAAATTAGAAATTAGATTCGATTGTAATCTCCACCGAGACTATTTTATTCCAAGCTTTCCGAAGATGTAACGATGTGTTACGTTCGAAACGAAACGAAACGCGCGTGTGCGTTGGTTGCAGAAATTTAATCCGATCGGATGGAAATTTTTGTTCAGAAGGACGGGAAACTCCATTATCGCCGCCACCACCTTCGAGCTCCTCCGTTCAGACGTCGCCTCGCGGATTGGGTTACACCTGCGGTCCCATAGATGGATCCCTGTACGCTGTGGTAC